CCCATTTAAGAGCACATTGGTATTCGAATTTTTTACATTGGGTATTATAAATTTTATACAGTTTGTCTTATTACCATTTGAGAGGGAATTGTTGGCGTTAAACCAATGTACTAATTTCGATAAAGCATTATTTACATCGTCGTAATTAATTGACTGACGTTTGAGTTTGAAAATTAAAGAGGTATCATCAGCAAATAATAATATATCGTGATTGTCCCCTACAAGTTAAGGTAAGTCATTAATATAGATTTAGAAAGGAATGGGCCAAGAATCGAGCCCTAAGGAACGCCCGTTGATACTACCGATCCGGAGGAACCTTTAATTTAACTTAGGTTAATTTATAGATATTTAGATTAATATATAGACTATATATAATTAATAACCTTTTTTATCCTACAAATAAAGATATATTTAGTATATCTCCGTCACGTGCAATATTTATCACAGAACGTCTATAACACATTAAGATAAGAATATTAGTAAATATTACAAAAATAGGTCAGTAGTTACTTTGCTATTTTTATAATCTTTAGTATCCGACTGTCTTCATAACACTTTTCAAGAGCCAGTTGTAGTAACAATCTCTCATTTAGATGCCAAAATATTATATACTGATGATGATAATTAAAGAGGTTGTTGAGTTTAGTGTTTATGCAGTTTATCTTATCCTCTTTCTTTAAATTAGTCAAAAAAAAGTAGCTAGGAGCCTTATCGCTTTATACAATACAGCCATATAACAACAAATAATTATAACAATAATATTTTTTTCCTTTTGGAGTAGGTTAGTTTATTTCTAAAAAAATAACATACCTACAAAAATCTTCTTATCTTTCAATAATTATAGACGATATTAATGGTATCAATAATTCGCTAATGTTTCTTTATGAGCAGCGTTGGAGCTCACTTGCCTTAAAAAATCAACATGGGCGAGCAAACCGTCTTAATTCCGTCCTCCATGGTGGCACTACACCGGAGGCGTGGAGCAGACATTGATTTATATGGTCTTGTATAACTCAATGGGAGCAGAAGTGCGGTGGTCTTGTTCTTCATAAAAGGCGACAACGCTCTCACTACAGACCGATTTCCCTTCTGAGCCGCGTCTACGTGCTGTTTTCGAGAGTCATTACGAATCGTCTCGCATGCAGACTCAACGACTTCCAGCCTCCCGAAAAAGCCGGTTTCCGAAAAGGGTTTAGCACTATGCACCACATACATACCCTTCGGTAAATTGTTGTTGTTGAAGACCGAAGAGTACAATCTGCCACTTTGTCTTGCGTATGTCGACTATGAAAAAGCATTTGATTTCGTCGAAATTTGGGCGGTGCTGCAATCCCTCCAGCAGTGCCAAGTGGACAGTCGGTATATCGAGGTGTTGAAGTGTTTGTACAGTAGGGCAACGATGGCTATCCGAGTACAGAACCAGAGTACGAAATCTATCCAACTGCAGAGAGGTGTAAGATAGGGTGACGTAATATCTCCGAAACTCTTCACCGCTGCATTGGAAGACGTTATCAAGCTACTGGACTGGAAAGGATACGGTATCAACGTCAATGGTGAGTACATTTATCACCTTCGATTTGCCGACGATATAGTCCTTATGGCAGAATCGCTGGAGGACCTAAGCACTATGCTCAATGACCTCAATAGTGTCTCCCAACGGATAGGTCTTAATATGAACATGGACTAAACAAAAATCACGTTTAACGTCCATGTCAGACCTATGTCGGCAGTTGTTGGGAGCACTAAGCTCGAAGTTGTTGACGAATGTCTATCTGAGACAAATAGTCCGACTAGGTAAGTCCAACTTCGACCTAGAAGTCGATCGACGGATTCAACTCGGCTGGGCAGCGTTCGGGAGATTACGACACATCTTCAAGTTAGACATACCTCAGAACCCCAAAATTGGATTGTTCAACCAGTGCGTGTTTTCAGTGATAACCTATGGACATGAGACGTGGTCTTTCACTGCTGTCCGTATGAGGAAGCTCAAAGTCGCTCAGCGAGCTATGGAAAGGGCTACACTCGGCGTTCCTCTGCGTGATAGACTTAAAAAAGAGGATATCCGCAGTAGAACCAGAGTAACCGACATAGCCCAAAGAATTGATATGCTGAAGTAGCGGCAGGCGAAGTGTTGGGCGTTCCCCACTAGATGGAGTGATGACCTGGTAAGACATGCAGGAAGTCGATAGATGCAGGTGGCTCAGGACCGTGCTCTGAAGCATTCCTTGGGGGAGGCCTATGTTCAGCAGTGGACTTGTGAAGGGCTGTAATAATGATGATGATGTTGAGCAAACGGAGTTCGATCCCTGTCAGCACCAATACATCAAGTTTTTTTTTTTGTATCCACTACTGGTAATATGTCTTCCCAACAATACAATAACTGGTACTGCATTACTTGGAAGATTCTTCAAAGAAGTAAGTATACATAGGACTAAGCTTACTGTGGTAAGTATAGGTATGCCTTATTTTCTCTTATTTCCATCATAGTCCGACGAGACGACAATCTGACACTATCGGAGAGAGGTCAGGCGCAGGACCTACGGCGCGGCGTTACGTGCATTCCAAGTTTCCAAGGCAATTTGAAAAGAAATATTTTGTCTGTTCTTGATCCTCTTGTGTACACCATTTTTAGTTAGAATTATATAGTTGATATCTTCAATGATTATAAGTTATGAATAGCACAGAGAAATTAGTTTACTTAGTTTCGATACACGTATTTATTGCGTATTTATGATTCTGTTGTTTGTTTCGATAACCCATCGGTCACTTTTAATCTGCATTGCCTTATGTAGATATTATTATAACGTAATACATTGCAGTTAAAACTTAGGTAATGCCTTAAATATTATACCCTTCGTTACTTTATCTTGGTACCGTGTAGTGGCGGTTTAAGAATATCTACTACCCCATACCATCCCGTTGATGCGGTAAGAGGTGACAGAGGGAAACAAATCAGGAGATGGACAGTAGCACCTTTCCAATATGTAATGACTAAAAATAAAAATTTACTGCGGTTGTCAACTTACTAAAGTTGCCACGCTTGGCAACGTGGCAACTTTAGTAAATATCCCTCCTATGAGGCAATCTAGGGGGGCGGCCTATTTTCAACAGTGGACTATAATAAGCTGTAACGGTAACGGTAAATTTATCCTGACTCTTGATCATGAGATATGTAAAGCTTTCAACCGACTTCAGTAAGGAGTAGGTATTACAATTTAACTGTAATATGCTTTTTTGTACGTATGTACACGATAAATGCTCCAATTGTAAATCGATTTAGATTATTCCTTTTATATTAAATAAGTTTTACTTCAAGGGTGGTTGGTTCCATATAAATTTGGACCGGGCAAAATAGGTAATGAAAATATTTTTATTGTAACTATGGGGCCATTCAAGTATTCCGTAAGCACTAAAGGGGGGGGGGGGAGATCTTTGATTTGCTTATTTTTAACGACATGGGGGATGGGGGAATCTGGATGGTGATCACGTCAGCAATATTTATTTATTTACTTTTTCGGATTTTCTTTTTTTTTATAGGAGAGGGAACAAACGAGTATGCGGCTCACCTGATGGTAAGTGACTACCGCCGCCCATGAACAACTGCAACACCAGGGGAATAGCAGATGCGTTGCCGGCCTTTTAAAAATGAGTAGGCTCTTTTCTTGAAGATCCCTAAGTCGTATCGGTCCGGAAAAATCGCTTATCGATTCCACAAGGAAGTTGTGCGAGGAAGAAAACATCTTCTAAATCGCACAGTGGTGGACCGCCAATCATCCAGATGGTGTGGATGGTATCGGGAGTTCTGCCGCGATGTGCGTTCGTGAAATTTGATCCGGCTATCACTTTGCAACCCGCATTAAACTTTTGCTGTGGCGATTTCTCTTGTTTTGATTGATTATAAATATGCGTTATTAAACACGTAAAAATACTTAATTTTTTCAGAAAAGTAAATTTTTACTTATGTTCTAGATCTAATATAAAAAAGAATCAATGGATTTGTGTCTTTTTATAGAAGTGGGGACAAACGAGCACGCGGCTCACCAGATGGTAAGTGTCGACCGCCGCCCATGAACAACCGCAACACCAAGGGAACCAGGGAAATTGCAGATGCGTTGCCGGCCTTTTAAAAAGGAATAGTAAGATTTCTTAAAGGTCCCTCGAAATTCGTATCGGTCCGAAAAAAATCGCCGGTGGTAAACAATAATTGTTTGTGGAATTATTCCACAAAGAATTCGTGCGAGTAAAAACTAGTAAATCGCACAGCAGTAGACCAGCAAGTATCCAGAAGATGTGGATGGTAACGTGAGTTTTGTCGCGATATGCGTTGATTAAATTTGGCGACTGGAATTAATCAGAACAATTCCTCAGAGAACTCCCCGTGGAAATGCAAAGGGATGCAACATATCTTCGCAGCGCCAATGAATGGAGCCGATCAGAGAGAACTCGATTGTGGAAAATTCTAACCGCTCTGCGCTGGAGGCGGTCAAGTGGAAGGAGCTGAACCGGAAAGCTTTGGCTCAGAGATGAGAAAAGCAGTGAGGCTGAACCTGCGCCTTGTTAAGTAGCAAGCGGTGTACCGGCATGAAATACTGTCCCGCTCTGCTGAGCACGCCAAGCTTTTACAGCCTTCCCTTCCAAGTGACCAATTTGGTTTTTAAGTAGATGAAAAATAATTTTTTCTCAATTTATATAAAACGCAATAATTTAATTTTCAATTATAGATATTGAATAGGAAGTCTAATGGCTACATAATGTGACCCCTCATAATGTTAGTAATATTTCATATATTCTTTATTTTAAATTTTACTATTGTACGACATTAACTTCTCTAATTTGCTCTGGTGTGTCTGGGGCTACTTACGGGCCCAAATATATTATGTTTAAGTACATGAGTATACACTTAACGAGTAGACTTCCCATTCTTCCTCAATTCCTATTATATTTCTCAAACGGCTCGCTTTTTCAACACTTACTCTTTCAAAAATGTAAATGATGCTTACCGGATCCAAAACGAGGTTGCTTTGCATCCAAGAAATGATATTTCGAAACAACGATAGGCTGGATAGGAGCTCGAGCGTCCATCGCAACGTGGAAAGCACCTTTTCGGAATGGCAGAAGTTTGTCCCCCAAATGTCGAGTCCCTTCAGGAAACAACAGCAGTTTTCGCTAAAAAGAATTAAACAAAATGAATACAAAATAACCCAAATAAGCAAAAACATATAATAAAATTACTTTTACGGATTTTATCGCGTTTAATTAACTTATTTTTATTATTTCCCGACGTTTCGGGTGCTTTTCAGCACCCATGGTCACGGGGGACTGAGGTGATAGACGTCCCGCAGCAGGCAGCAGCGTCTTTCTAATAACAACTAAACAAAAAACCTGCGGCTGCTAAGCGTGGCTACTTTGGGAAATATTCCCCCTATGACTGCGCTAGCACTTCTTATTAAGGTGGGTGGACCATGGAAGGCCACGCTCCTTTGAAGGCCAACTATTGAAAAGTCGTAGTTATTGACATGTAAAGACATAGACATATTCCTTCTGCTATATACAAAGATCCATCAAACTCAAGGCCACATATGCGGCGGCGAGTCGCTGGCGCCGCTATTGTGGCAGCACGATCTCACGCTTCGTAGACTTTGGTCGTCGACGTTACAATTCATAGATTAATGTATGTAATGTAATAAGTCATCACGCGCTCTGAGAGCACGATGACTTATCATTAATCTATGTTATAATTGTTATTCGCGCGCACAGCAAAACGTAATTTTTTAGTTAATAACCTATTATTATCTTATTTTTTTTTACGTTGAATTGTCGTATAAGGATATGTTTATGGTACTAAAGGAAAAAAAATAGTTTTGCCTCGATTTAAGTTAAAATATTGGTAGTGTTCCTAGAAAAGCCGGTGGTTCCTTATAAGGCCAACCAAAAATTTGACGGTTGGCCTTGCTAGGGTACCTACATGGGCCTTACAAGGAACTTCTACAAACCATGAATATATGAACAGTTAGGTACTGTTGCAGTTGTTTTATATTTATAATATTTTTTATTTATAAGGGTTATTAAACTTTTTAACTCATATTGAATAGACATTTTTTCACAATTATTTTATTTCCAGTATATATTTAAATTTCTTTTATGGGAAGGTTATGTTTGAAAATAAACTAAGCTAATTTACATGAAAAGTAACGAACATAAAATATATTTGCATGTTAAAAACGGTAAAGTATGTGATAAAGTAAGTAGTTATGTGAGTTAAAGAATCGTTGATTTTGAACTGTCCTGACTTCAAGACTGACTATGTGCCATGATAAGTTTGTAACAATTACAGTACTTAGTCTGTAGCGTCTATTATTTTGTTATAATTAATATAAAAAGTCATTGATAATTGTAAGTTTGGCCTTCTTAGGAACATTTTGGCCTTACAAAGAACGGACCCATAAGAAGGCCATTTTAGGTTAAAAAAAAACTTTTTAATTACATTATAAAACGCGTTGGCAAGTTATTTGATGTCAATATAATACTCATTACTACTATTTTTAAATAATTTCCATTAATATATTCTTAGTTATACGATGGTGTTCAAGTAATGTTCGTTGAGTTTTTTATAAATGATAAAAATATATTGAGCGTTTAATGTTTCGCTTAAATGAAAAAGCTTATAATGTAGTTTTAGTAAAAGCGGATCCCTATATTAATTATTACAACTCTATTTTTAAGTTGAACGACTGATGTATAATATTGGCCTTGTTTGGAGCCGTGTTCCTTGCAAGGCCATTTGGAAGGGCTTAATAAAACTTAAGTTTAATAAATAGTGATTAAAGCTAGGTTAAAAAAAAGTGATTTCTATGGTACACAATAAAACAAATTATTACTTGATAATTTGTTTTCTTCATTTATTCAGTTAATAAACGAATAAAAAGTGTTTACTCGTTAGAGTAGCCTTCCATGGTCCACCCACCTTAGTTTGTGCCTATGACACAATCTATGAGGGAGGGAGGCTATGTTCAGCAGTGGACTCTTGAGCCTGTAACGACGACGAAAGAAAATCATTAGTATGGCAGACAGACAAAAATTTTAAAAAGAATTCTGCATTATTTATGCGAAAATCTCATGAAAAGCAAAGAAGTGGCTTAGACAAAGAAGCAATCGGTGTCTAATCTATTTATCAAAGTCCTACACTGCCTATGTTCGGTACTTGGGATTGACTGAAATGAAGACAATGATACCAAAACTTGGATGCTTAATGTATAAACTCATAATCAATCGATGTACTACATCATTTTTTTACGACAATTTATTTTAATTAATTATTTTGTATTATAAGGAAAATCAACTTTTTTAAACCAAAACACCTCCAGTAAAATACTCGTAAGTACGTACTAAAACATTAAAATAAAATAATTAATAATTATTGTTATCCGTCAATACATACCAATGTCATGGTATACAGGAACAAAATTAAAACTTAAATTGTTGCAAATTTATTCCTGTGCCTTAGGAGAACTTACCTACAAAAACCTTACCTTACAAAAATAACAAAAACTATCGATTACTATAACCCCTAACCCGGCACCAATGGCGCTGGGTCATATTGACCCGAAGTGATTTAAAATGGTTATTTTTTAATATTACGGTGACCGCACAATTTTAAAGTTTGTGTAACTGGAATAACAGACCCTGTCTCCCCGAACTGCTGAATTACTCGACCAAGAAATATATTACTCCCTAAAGTGCGACACCGCCTGTGCAGTAAGATAAATATGAGTTGGAGTCATCACTGGCGTAGTATATTCTTATCATCCTTTCATTAGCTTATTTAGTGTTTGTCGTTAATTCATCTTGTTCAAGTGTAGATTTTTAGTGAAAAGGGCACTGTGAAGTTATCCGGTGAGAGTTATGGCAATGTTAAATGATTCGGTGTCAGATAAAGAATAGTTAAAATACTGTATTTTGATCAGCGATATGAAAAATCACTTCTCTGAAATTAGTGACAATAGCGAACCACGTCAGTAGTTACCAAAAACCTCCCTAGAAGGTTTTTTTTTTTTTTTTTTTTTTTTTTTTTATAGAATAGGGGGCAAACGAGCATGCGGCTCACCTGATGTTAAGTGACTACCGCCGCCCATGAACAACCGCAACACCAGGGGAATTGCAGATGCGTTGCCGGCCTTTTAGAAAGGTGTAAGCTCTTTTCTTGAAGGTTCCTAAGTCGTATCGGTTCGGAAAATTCGCTGGTGGTAATTGATTCCACAAAGAAGTTGTGCGAGGGAGAAAACTTCTTCTAAATCGCACAGTGGTGGACCGCCAATCATCCAGATGGTATGGATGGTAACGCGAGTTTTGTCGCGACGTGCGATGGTGAAATTGAGCGGCTGGAATTAGTCCGAACAATTCCTCAGAGCACTCCCCGTGATAGATGCGATAAAATACGCAAAGAGATGCAACATCTCTACGCAGTGCCAGTGTATCGAGCCGATCGGAAAGAACTCGGTCGTCGACGATTCGAATCGCTCTGCGCTGGATGCGGTCAAGTGGAAGGAGCTGGCACTGGGGTGCCCCGGCCCAGAGATGAGAACAGTATTCCATGTGGGGCCGAACTTGCGCTTTGTAAAGTTGCAAGCGATGTGCCGGCATGAAATACTGTCTCGCTCTGCTGAGCACGCCAAGCATTTTAGAGGCCAATTTGGCCTTCCCTTCCAAGTGACCACGAAACTGCACGCTATTCGATATGTCGACGCCAAGGATTCCGATACTGGCTGAGGCAGCAAGGGGAGTGCCTTGAAACTGAGGAGATACGACAAAGGGGTTCTTTTTAGCGGTAAACGCGCAAACTTGTGTCTTCTGGGGATTGAACTGGACTAGATTTAGTCGGCCCCAATCCGAGACTTTGTTAAGCAAAGACTCGACTTCAGACACAAGTTTGTCCCGGTACTCGGCGACGTTTTCCCGAGAAATATTGGCACGGCCGGTATATAAGGCATCCCCAGTGCTGTCGTCTGCATAGCAATGAATGCTACCAGTTAGCAACATATCATTGATATGCAGGAGAAACAGCGTTGGTGATAGCACGCAGCCTTGTGGAACACCAGCGTTGATAGGCTTGTAATCAGAGCATGCACCGTCTACTACGACCTTGATGCTCCGATCAGCAAGGAAACTGGTGATCCATTTGCACAATTTCTCGGGAAGCCCATAGGAAGGAAGCTTCGAAAGAAGCGCCTTGTGCCAGACCCGATCGAAGGCCTTCGCTATGTCCAAACTAACGGCCAATGCCTCCCCCTTGGACTCTACTGCCTCCGCCCATCTATGAGTTAAGTAAACTAAAAGATCACCTGCTGATCGACCCCGACGAAAACCGTACTGACGGTCACTGATCAGCTGGTGATCCTCAAGGTACCTCATGAGCTGGCAGTTTATAATGGATTCCATTATTTTGGAGAACAAGGAGGTGATGGCGATAGGCCTGTAGTTGGACGGGTCTGAGCGGTCGCCTTTTTTAGGGATCGGGTGGACCAAAGCTGTCTTCCATGAATTCGGGACTACGCCTTGGGAGTAGGAGTACCGGAAAAGACGCGTTAAAACCGGTGCCAACTCCGGAGCACACGTCTTCAGCACAATGGGAGGGACTCCATCGGGCCCACTCGACTTGCTGACGTCCAGGGAGAAGAGTGCTTTGCGAACCGAGCGCTGTGTAAATCGCACATCCGGCATGGAGCACTCACATCGCGGGATGGTCGGCGGTGTGTTCCCCCCGTCATCTAGAGTCGAGTTGGACGCAAAAAGAGAGCACAACAGATCGGCTTTCTCTTTTGCGGCATGGGCCAGTGAGTCGTCCTCTCTGTGCAGAGATGGGAGGGATGGCTGACAGAAGTTCCCTTGGACAGCCTTGGCGAGAGACCAGAATGCACGGGTTCCCGAAGGAAGGCGAACTAGCTTCTCGCCAATTCTGCCGATGTGCTCAGACCTTGCCTTGGCAATGACGCTTTTGAAGGACCTGGAGGCGGAATTATACTTCTTTTTAAGTGCGCTGTTGTTTAAAGGTTCCAGCAACTCGCAAAAGATGTCAAATATGTCAGTCCAAACGAGATAATAAAAAAACCTCGTACTTGTATATTTATAACAGATTTTCATACGCCTGGACCATTCGATTTCGTAATTGC